CACACTCAGCCCACATGGGCCTGCTCACACTCAAGCCACACACAAAGCCCCTCATGGGCCTGCTCATACTCAAGCCACACACACTCAGCCCTACACAGGCCCTGCTCACACTCAGCCTACATGGGCCCTGATCACACTCAGCCCTCACACAAAACCCCCACACACTTAACCACACCTGGGGCCCTGCTCACAGTCAGCCCCACACGGGTCCTGATCACACTCAGCCCACACAGGTCCTGCTGACAATCAGCCCTCCCACACAGGGCCATGTTCACACTCAGCCCCACACTCTGAGCCCTGCTCACACTCAGCCCTCACACACGGGCCCCTGCATACCTGTCCAGGCATCACAGACATGTAAGCCTCACAGGGCAAACTCTGGGGTTTCATGTCCCACGCTGCCCCACATTCACACTCAGCCTTGTGACATGCTGACATCAGCCTTACTGATGGTGCTGATGGTGCTGCAGATGCACACCCAAGTCTCACACACCTGCATTTGTCACAGAGGGTCCTTGGGTGGGCCTCTGCCAGGCCCCGATCAGGGCAGAGCAGGAGTCTAGCACATCTGCCCTGGGCACCAGCCCACCCCTCACCCTAGACATACACTGGCCACACCCTGGCCACACTGTCCAGCACACCTCAGCTTCCCTGACCCTCCCTCACATGCAGGGCCCCCAAACCGGCCCCACAGCACCCCAAGCTCCCTGCCAAGGGGTCCCTGGCCCTCCTTGGCCTCCTCTGGGCTCCGCTGACCCTTCCACCGCTAGTCTGGCTGAGGGGTGGAGGCCAGGCGGGGTTGCTCCGGAGGCCCCAGTGCAGGCATGGGGGAGGACAGGGAGTGAGTCCCCGTGGGGCAGACAGACATGGGCCCAGGCGGGGGATGGGAGCTGAGGCGGGAGTGGCGGTGGGGCCGCCCCGCGGGAGGCACAGCTGAGCACCTCTTCCCTGTCCAGAGCTGATGCTGACCGACAGCTGTGAGGACGCCCAGGACGAGGAGCTGGACGGTCTGTGGACCACCCTGTCCATCTTCATCACCCTCTTCCTGCTCAGTGTGAGCTACAGCGCAGCTGTCACCCTCTTCAAGGTGGGCCCCTCCACCCCGGGCCCCCGGCGCCCCCAGCACCTCCCAGGCTCCTGCAGCTCCCCGCCAGCCCAGGCTGCCGTGTGCTCGGTCCCACTGTGCCCCCCGCCTTCAGTGGCCCCCGACAATACCACTGTGTCTCCCAGCCCCAGTGGCCTTGTGACCCCGCGGCCTCCCGTGACCCCCGCCCCACCATCCCCTTGCCTCGGGGCCCCTGCTGGACTGGTGGCCGAGCCCCTCCCCCGCAGGTGAAGTGGATCTTCTCGTCAGTGGTGGAGCTCAAGCGGACCATCGTCCCCGACTACAGGAACATGATCGGGCAGGGGGCCTAGGCCGCCCCACCTCACACCTCGACCTCTGGCCAAGCCTCTGGCATCACCCCTCGAGCTGTGCCCTGCTGTCCGCACCCCCTGGAGACCTGAGTGGATGGCGGCCATGGCCCCCAGCTGAGCCGAGATGCCCGCCGGCCTCTCTGTCTGTCCACAGGACACAGCCAGCTGCGGGATGCCAGGAGCTCGTGTTCCGCGGCAGCACTGTCCAGTCGGCCCGCCGGCCTCCCCGTCACCCCCTGCAGAGCCCAGCGCCCGTGGGCCTCACCCCATCCTCAGGGGCAGCGTCTGCCACCAAGCGGGGAGGGCCCTGGCTGCCGTCCACTGGGCGGGCCCCTCCCGGAGGCTGCTGGGGCAGGCCTGGGCTGTGACCCGGGTGGGCTGAGGAGGGGGAGCGTCCAGCCAGCAGGCCTCCTGGAAGGCCCTGGTGGACAGGCCACAGACACGGCCGGCCCGGCCGCCCCAGGGACTCGGCTGGCCGGGCGTCCGCAGAGACCAGACCCCAGGCGGGCCCCCCCGGGGCCCCCAACGCGAGGCCCCACACCCAAAGCCTCCCAGGGGCACTGGCCCAGCTGTTCAGCCAAAGGGCGCCCCGAAGGGAGCCCAGGAACGCCAGCCGCTTGGGCAGCTTTTCCTCCCTTTTGAGTCCGTGTCCAGTCGGTTTTCTCTGCTGTTGTTTCTAAATGACAATAAAACCGCTCGTCCCTCACTGGGGCCACTGAGTCCAAGCATCTCGTGAAGTCCAGTCGGCCAGGCCCACGGCGCAAACCCCGGCCCCGCGCCCATCCTGGGGAGGCCCCCGCCGTGGGCCAGGAGGGGCCGGGGCCCAGTGGGAGCAGAGGGGCTCGTGGCACAGGCGTTTGGGGAGCTCAGGGGGCCACGGGGCTCAAGGCTGCCGTCCCCAGCCCAAGCGGGGGCACTGCACAGGCCCAGGCCCCTGAAGCCTCAGTCCCGGCATATAACACGCCCCCACGCTCTCCCCACGGGGACCCGCCCCATTGGGCAAGGGCGCCCCCTGGCCTCTTTCCACGACCTTGCCAAGCCCAGTCTCATTCTGAGGTCTTGGGTCAGATCTGAACTGGGGGCCACAGTGCAGACCCAAACGGGGAGTTGGGTGCCAAGTGGTGGGTGGGGTGCAGGCCAGGGCTGAGGTGGGGAGGCAAAGACAGAGAAGCTGTCAGCCAGGCACAGCAACAGGCAGGCAGCGGGCGGAGGCAGCTGGGCCCTGCGGGGGGCGAGGCCGGGGGTGGGGGGCTCAGGGGACTGGAAGGCCAAAGGCTGGCACCTGCCTCGAACCCTCTCCAAGACAAGTGTCAGGTCTAGGGTTCGCGGGGGAGCAGTGCTTAGAAGGGGGTACACCCCAGTGGGACACCCACACCCAGTATCTAAGTACCCAGCATCCTACACCCAGCACCCCAAAAGCCCCGCCCCCCAGCATCCCTACATCTCAGCGCCTCATATCCAGGGCCCAAGCATCTTGGCACCCAGCATCTGTGCAGCCTGGCGCCCAGGGTCCCCCTTGTAGGCGGGGCACGCAGGGCCACCGAAGCCGCAGGCTCAGCCTGCGCAGTGTGGACACGTGGCCAGGAGGCCTGGAGGAGTCCGTGTACTGCCCGCCCAGGGAACACGGCAGGCCCAGGGCACTGCCCCGCCCAGGCGCCTCAGGCTGGACCCGCACGGGTGGGCCTGGCCGCCTGCTCCCCCTGCCGCCTCGGGAGCATCCTCACAGAGTCCCCAGTCCTGCTGCTGCCCAGGAGGCACCTGCCCCACACGGCCCAGCACAGGAACCCTGCGGGGAGCACCCAGGGCAGGGAGGGAGCGCACAGCAGGTCCACCCCAAGCCGGGCCACCTCAGAGAGCCGGGCCAGCGCCGCTGGACACACAGGGGCCGTGCTGACCTCGCTGGCCTCCCGGGCGGGCACCAGAGGAGGCCCGGCTCCCGCCCAGGCTGGGCCACGTTGACGCCTTGTTCTGGCCACTGAACCCGGTCCTGGGGGCCGGAGTGGGAGGGGGAGTGTGTTTGCGGGGCTGCGCCAGGCTGGGGTGCTCGCTGCAGGGGCCGGAGGCACAGAGTCGAGGCCTTGCCTCTTTGGGACAGACGGACGGCAAAGCAGTTTCCAAGGAACCGCCTGGCGGAGGTCGTGAGGCCGAGAGCGGGTGTGGGGGTGGGCATGGGGGGGTTTCTGGGCCCGCCTCAGAGGGAGGCCTGCAAAGCCTGGACGTCGCACCAGGCCGGCCCACGCGGCCAGTGTCCGGCTCGGGGCAGAGATGCCGCAGGAGGGAGGAGGCGGCCTGACTGCTCTACACCCGCTGGGCGGGCGAGGCCAGCCCAACCCCAGTCCGCTCAGAGGCCAGCGTGCAGCCCGGTGCCAGGGCCAGGGGAACGCCACCGCACCCCCGGCGCCGGTCCAGCCCAGCAGGCACCAGGCACCTCCCTGCGCGCCCCACTCCTCCCGAGGCCGGGCAGGGCACCCTGTCGCTGCCACCAGCATCTTGCCAAGGACGCGCCTGGCCAAGGTGGGGGAGTCTGCAGGCTGCCAGGCCACCCCAGCACCCCCACCCGACAAGCACGGCCAAGGCCAGCGTGGGGAGCCCAGGCGGCACCCTCTGGCTATCTCATGAGGCCGCCACACAGGAATGTGCGGTCAGCAGTGACCATGGACACAGCACACCGGGGGACAGAGGTTCCAGTGACACAGAAGACCGCAGGGGTACGACGCAAGGTAGCGCCAGCCCCTGGCAGCGCCCAGGGGCAGTCCCAGCCACGGCCGGCTGCTGGCCATCAGCACGCACGTCCAGGTGGCGTGTGGATGGCCTGATAAGGCCCCACCACAGAAGGAGGAGGCGTGCAGCGGAGCTCGGGCCCGCAGTTGGCCAGGCCCCCAGTCCTCGAGCCCCAGCGGCTCTAGCGCCGGCCATGGCCACACTCCCTGCGCCCGCCCACCCACGCTCACGGCCTCCACGCAGGCTGCAGCACCACGGCTCTTGAGGGCCATCCCTGCCCTGGAGGCCAGGGGCAGCAGTGGGCCACAGAGGGCCTGGACCCCTGCCGGCTGGCCCTGTCCACTGGTTGGGGCCAGGGGCCGGGCACCCTGGCTGCAAGGGGCTGCACCTGGTGGCACCAGGCCCTCCTGGACAGAGCGGGCAATGCCTGAGCTGGGTGCCCAGGGGGACCATCCCCGTGCCCTCCACAGGTACCAGCAGCCCTGCCTGGCCGGGATGGGCAGCAGTGTCCCATGGGACCTCCAGGCCACCGCTCGGGGAGAGCAGGCAGCATGGTTGGCATGGTCAGGCAGAGCCCACATGCGGCAGCTCCTGGCCCCCACACCAGAGGCCCCGAGGGCTCTGCCTGTCAGCCCTGCGGCCTCTGAGATCCACGGGTCCCTCTCCGGGACTCCTCCCCTCTGCCTCCGCACAGCCTCTATCCCAGGACCAGGTCAGCCGGCCGGACCAGGGCCAGCACCCTGGGGATGGTGGTGCTGAGGGCCTGGCTCCCCTGGCCTCTGGGGCAGACTTCCCAGGGTCAGCCCCGCACGCTAGCCAGCTACCCCCAGGACCCTTGAGGACCCAGACCTGATGCCTACCAGCCTCCCCGCTTAGGGCTGGCTCCAGGTACGGGGCTGACCCCTCTGCTGGTCTGCCCAGGGCCCATCGGCCCAGGGCTCCCATGTGTGCTCAGCCTCGGGGGTGGGTGTCAGGGCCTGCGTCACCCACGAGGGCCAAGCCAGGACCCACACCCTGGTCTCGCTGCGGAGACCACCCATGACCCCAGCTCTGGCTTCGGGAAGCCACATCCACCTGTCCAGCACACAGGCCAGCACAGCCCTGGGGCCACTGCTGTTAGGGTGGGGGAGGCTGGGGCAGTCGGCCGCACGTGGTCCGCAGGCCTTGAACGCAGAACAACCTGCTTCCCCAGGGCCGCCCTGCCCAGGGGCCCTGGGGCGGAGGCCTTGGCGGGCAGGGCAGAGGAGAGCCTGGTCTATGCCGGGCCCACCTCGCCCATCGACTTCCCAAGAAGAGAGAAAGAAGCGGGGACTTCCAGGTGTGCTGATGCAGGGGGGTTCCCGCCCCGATTTAGCCGAAGGCGCTGAGGCAGGGCCCCCGCCCCCAGCCACATTGTTGGACACAAAAATAACAACAGGGCTAGTGGCGATTGGCCGCCTGGGCGTCCACAGGCAGACAGACGCGGCACACCGGACAGAGGCCCAGCCCCAGGTACCCTGGCCGCAGGCCACCGGGGTCCCGGCTGTGTCGCTGCCCCACACTGGGGCACTCAGAGCCGGCCTGGACGAGACGAGGGGCTGGGCCCGAAGGGCGGACCGCAGCCAGAGACAGCGGCCGCACTGGCCGGCCCATCACCCACGAGGCCACCCCGCCAGAGGAGCTGTTCCTGCGGAGCAGGCAGGCCGGGCCCACACCTGCCTGAGCTGGGCGTGAGCAAGGGGATGGGGGCTGGACACGGCACGTGGCCAGCAGAGCCAAGCTGTGGTGGGCTTGAGGGGTCCTGCAGCCCAAGCAGCCAAGCGGGCCGGGCTGAGTCCAGCTGGGATGGGCTGGTTTGGGTCTAAGTGGGCTGAAACAGGCAGGACTGGGCGAGGCTGGGTCCAGTGGGTCAGCTGGGCCGGGCTGTGTGGGCTAGGCTGCCACTAACTGAGCTGAACTGGGTTGAGCAGGGTCAAGCTGGGCTGGGCTGGGTTCAGTTGGGCTAGCAGACAAATAGTCTAACAGGGCTGAACTGGGCTGAGCCAAATTAAACTGGGCTGGGTTGGGCTGGACGGGGATGAGACTGGTCCAACTGGGATGAGCTGGGTCGGGCTGGGCTGCGCTAAAA